ATTAATTATCTATGAGACTTGATTAGCTTAGAATCTGTTAAAGCAAGCAATAGCAATTAATTAATTATCAATTTTGTTTCAATTAATATTTTTGTATATTGAATTTCAATTTTATCTTCCTTTAAAATTTCATATTGAATTGATATTTCACTTGAATTCTTCATATTTATTTAAAATATATATTTAAAAAATTGTGAAATTGTATTACTATTTTGTTGTTTTTTAATAGTTTACTAGAAATAAAAAAGTATCTTGTACATAAATTATGTAATAATATGTACATCAGACACTCGATGTAACTGCATACTTCGCGTTAATATAAATTTAATGAAATAAAAAATGTATACATATATGTAATCTATCGATCAAATGTATATTTGATTTCRATATGGTTATGGTTATGGTGATATGCATAATTGCGTATGCATTTTGTAATACGACGTAAGGTGCAATATTGTTTTTATTTTTCCTTTTGAAAGCGGTGTTAATTAATTTTTAAAATATTGTGAAATATTCACAATTGATTAAGTTTTTTATAATGTGTCTTGAATAATTTTCTATGTGCATTTGTAATTGTATTAATCGATTAATAATTTCGTATGAAATTGAAACATTTTTTTATTCATATATTTGCATATTGAAAAAAACATGCACTTTTTCAAATTCACTTGTGTTTAAAATATAAAAAAAAAACACATTTTCTAATGCATCGAGAATTCGATATTTTTTAATGTCCACCTTTTGGTCATTTAAAACTTTTTTTTTTTTTAAATTGGAAATTTTTTGTCGGGGATTCTACATCGAATTTCATTTTTCCACACATGCCCTTTTCATCTAGTTTTTTTGTTACAGAAGTGGAATACAAAAATAAGAAGACAGAAGACAAAGATTATTGGCAAGATCGATTCTAGTGTTTGTAGTTTGTGTTGTGGTAGTAGTGTGGTGTTGGGTTTTGTATCTGAATATATGAATGTATGAATGTAATGAATCTATTTGTGTGTGTCTGTGTGAACAATTTTCATTGATTTTT